AATATTTCTTTATTTCTTAGCATACTATTGTTTAACGTTAATCTCAGCTCTCAATTTTTAAAATGGGTAATATTTCATACTAAAGTTCCATCAAAATATTCCTAAATGATTAATTTTGATGTTTAGACACTCGTTTATCACTTTTCAGCCAACTTTATATTCATACCTTTTTGGTATTCTTACTTGTCTTAATTTTAATAGGTTTCTACCACCTTGCCTATAAATGTTTAATTTCGATTTGTGGCCAGTTGAATCAACCTGACATTAGTGTTTTTTCAGAATAATAATTCATACTCACAAATCACCTTAATGTAGTCGTTTTTTTCAACTTGTTTTAGGCATAAGTTGTTGGTTAGTATACGTTGTTGAACATTTTGTGACATTCCCGTTCATATGTTGGTTGCGTGAAGCGGCTTTTTCAGCTAGTCCACAATTCATATCACTTTTTTGATGTAACCATCTAAAATGCGTGCTAGAGTGCTTTCCAGTTGACAAAAAAAAACAGAAAAGTTTAATTAAATACTCGTAAATAAAGTAGAATGTGTCATAAATTCGCTATATATTAGTTCTAATTGGTTAACTTCATATTCACATCGTTTATTTATTTATTTATTTGAACACATAAATATTGGTACAAGGGGGCACCAAATATATATGCGCCACACAAAACAATGAGAATTTGAAGAGAAGGAGAAAAAAAGTAATGAACGTAGGGAATTATAAAAAAAAGAGAGAACAATAACGTCTTTAGCCACTGTGTTACACCATCTCTCGGACCCCAGCCAGGGAGTCGTGAAGGACAAACACAAGCCAGCCCTTTGCAGCTTTCTTTCATACCACGACACCATGTCATACACTGACTACCTCTCCGCTTTTTTCAACCAGTCCCAGAGTCGGCAGAAAATGCACGACGAGGAATAATGGAGAAAGGTGGTTGTATGCCCTCACTGTGCCTGAGGTGTTTGTATATAGGGCTTTCAGGATGTTAATAAACTTCTCAGGCACACCCTTCTTCAATAGACACTCCCAGAGAACAGTCCTATCCAATGAATCGAAGGCAGCCCTGATGTCAAGAAACACTACGATTGTTGGCCTTTGATAAGTATGCCGGTGTTCTAACATTTGGCGGAGGGTGAAGATATGATCAATACATCCTCGTCCAGAACGAAAACCAGCCTGTTCATCGCGAGTCGATTTTTCTCGGGTTTTAAACAACCTACGAAGTATAACGGAAGCCAATAGCTTGGACGCAATCGGAAGTAGACTTATCCTCCGATAGTTGTTACAGGAACGACGTGAACTCTTTTTAAAAATAGGGACAACTATCGACTCATTCCATGACGTTGGTACACTCTCTAGTTGCCAGACCTTTGTAAACAACGTCGTCGGCTCCTTAGTCAGAAAGTCACCACCATCTTTAAAAAGAATCGGAGGTAAGTCGTCTGGGCCCGGTGATTTGTAGCGTTTCAAGAGTTGGAGTTCCTTGCGGACTTCCGCCTCATTTGGTGGATCAGTCGTCACCGGCTATGGAGAGCAGGACAGTCTGACCGATGTTGCCGGAGCAGCAGGCCAGTTGGACTGCCCTTCGAAGAATTCTGCCCATCGTCCAATACGTCGGTGGATGTTAGTGATTGGCGTTCCGTCATCCTCTCAGATTGTTTCGCTCACACCAGACTTCTTGCTGCCAGTGTCTCGGATGAGTTGGAAGAGCTCCCGGTAATTACCAGATGCAGTTGCTGCTTCCAGCTCATTAGCACACTCCGACCACCAGGTTTCTCGGTCCTTACGCAAGCTTCGCCCGATTTCATTACGTAACATCCTTCGTTTGTGGTCAACCTCACGGTCACCCGGAGTAGACCGACGGGCTTCAATCAGTTGTAAGGAACCAGAAGAAACCCAGTGTCTGTAAGCGGGACGTTTCGCGAACCCACAACAGACTGTACCCGCCATGGCGTCATGCAATTGCAACCAATGCTCATCTATACTTTTCGGTGGAATGGTAGCTAGCTTAGAAGCTAGCTCGGTTCGGTATTTACTAGCAACAGAAGTTGCAGCCAGCTTGCTAACATCAATCCTTTGGTGGCGGTCACTTCGTTGTCCACTGAAAAGTAAGGTAAGATTGGCGCAGACCAGAGCATGATCAGATTCCAGATAGGTGCTCCAAAAGTAGCGGCAGTCTTGTACACAACTACGCCAGCGGTAGCAGATCGCGATGTGATCAATCTGAGTCCAGGCTTGAGATGCAGAAGGAGGACGCCAGGTGGCACATCGGCGATGACTGTGCCGAAAGTTAGTGCTAGCCAGAAACAGGTTGTGGTCTGTGCATAGTTGCAGTAAACGTTCCCCGTTATCTGTCCTGCGACCAACAAGTTCCCATCGGCCACCTAAACGACTCTCTTCTGTGCCTAGACGCCCGACATGAGCATTCAAGTCTCCGGCTGGTACTACAATATCTGGAGAAGAACAGTTAGCTGATGGTAGAACTCATCCTTGAATGCATCCGGGCTGCAATCTGTCTTGGCATAGGCGGAGATGACGAAAAGACATCGTTTCTCACGCCGATTTCTTCTCACTTTGATGGAACTTTCTAATCTAACAGCACATAACCGACTGTTAATGGGGATCCAATCGATTAGTGCTGCCTCAGCTCTAGTGCTTAGTGCGACACCAACGCCAGCAAGACCAGAGGAATATACCACAGGGTCCCCGGATAAACGCACGTAAAACAAGATTTTTGAAGCGACAGATGGAGAGCGAACTTGTAGTACTTCACCAGAGTCTTGAATACGGGTCTCTGATAGACAACACACATCAATATTAAGACTTTCCAAAGACATAGCCAGCCCTATCTGTTGTCCGACCTGCATAAGTGTGCGAACGTTGAAGGCAGCCAGTTTGAATGGTGCACGTGGTTTCAGAAAAACTGTTTCAGTACTCGTATTCGGTGGTAACATACAATATCAATCAGTCAATGACTCGAGAACGTTTAGATAGAGCCGAATGTCCACCATAGGCGAGCTGCTGTCTAAGTCGAGACGGATACATAAAGTGGGAATAAGAGAGAGTGAATAAATGACGTGGTAGAGTAATAATAATATTAACAATAATAATAATAATTGTGCGAGTCATTTCATTGTTAATCGGAGCGAAAGGAATATTTTCCATAAGTAAATAGTTCATCATGTTTTAGTGCGTGGGCTGAGATACTGCCCGGGTGCCTAGACCGAAGCAGGTGGTTTTCTTAGGGGGCCACGCCCCGAGCCTTTGACCCCTAATGGTGTATTCCACAAGGCAGTGGAGCATCGTAAGGCGATGCAGTCCCATGGAAGCCGGTGACCAAGAAATTGGTTCATACTCCATTTTATCCTTCAGGTTACTGGAGCCCATGTGCACCATTGGTTTGGAATCAGGGTTATTTATTTACTCTTTGAAGAATCAACCTACACGAAACTATCAAACATTAAAAATTCGATTTTCTATGCATTTAGATATTACAAACACATCGTTAATTTTATCAATAATATTTCTGTTTACTAGAGTTTAATGAGTTTTCTTTGACATATATGTGCATGTAAATTTTTTTGTTGAATTTAACTAAGTCGATTTATTTAAATAGTACAGAAACGCACTATGTGTAAACACGAAGCTTGTTTTGACAATACAAACATGTTTTCTGAAATAAGTTTGATGACGTTGATACATATTTATTATTATTATTATTATTATTATTATTATTATTATTATTAGTAGTAGTAGTAGTAGTAGTAGTAGTAGTAGTAGTAGTAGTAGTTGTAGTAGTGTAGTGAAGGAATACTAATGTAGGACCAATTTATTGTTAAGTGCACAATCACGCAATGTCCTAGTAAAATGTGAAAATCACATATCAATTACACTATTTGCACATCTTTGAATTGTTTCTTAAAGGCTTCATTGTTCCTTCATTCCTGTTGTTATCTTGATTGCTTTCGATTTCCTTCTCTTTTTTCTTCATTTCAATCTTCTCAGCCTCTTGCTCTCAGGCATTCCACTTCTTACTTGTGTTACATACTACTTATATCTACGAACACAAGTAGCATGCACCACAGTAGCAGGGATAGCAATAGTTATAATAAAGATAGAAGGGTTGAGTAATGTAAATAATATCAAAGATAGTTTAAATTACCATACAACTTTTTAGATGGATTACAATTTACGACTTCTTACTAGTACCCATGTATAACCGTTGCAGGAATTAGAATATATCAGGAATGTGGTTAGTTATCACCGTTGTGCTATATTATGAAATGACCAGAGTTAAACATACCAGCGCTTTAGTTGTAAGTTGATGCACATTAAGTGACTTTAAAGTCTTGAGTTCTGTTGTGTTTGGCTGTTGTTGCCTGTAAACGCCCGAAAAGTCTCATTATTAGGACGAAACAGCTATCAAATAATCTCTGATGTACAATGATTTATTAAATAAATTCTGTTTGTGATGAATAACGATTCGATTAAACAATTTAACGCTTTCTTAGTATAAAAAAAGATAGAATCCTCTCTTAGTCTGTTATACAGACTTATCACAATAATATGAAAATGAATGACTATTGTTACACCGCTGTTGTTTACAATATGAATGGATATTGAAAAAAAAAACAAATTTTATTCTTGAGTAACAATGAAAATAGTAAATAGATTCCATGTACTATATATATAAACTTCATTCCATAATGTTAATTTACTTTTTATGCTAAGATAAATTACCTATCTAATTTGTTCAATTAGTTGCATGATAATAAAAGAGACCAATGTTTGGTTGTGTTAACCATTTGGTTGGTTACAATAAACGATTTTTTATATAGAGCTTAGTATTAAATATCACAGTGGTTTTATTTACTCAAAACTAATCGAGAACATATTATTCACTATTATTGTGATCTTTATTATTATTATTAATATTATTATTATTATTATCACCACATACTATTCTTTGTTTTCTTATATGTTATAATGTTTTTTTATAGCTGTTCCAAGATTATTTCACCAAAGGTAGTTGTCCAATGCTTAAAGAAGTTCGACGTCGTATTATGAACAATTTTCTAGAATCTAGACGAACACCTGTAGGAATACGTGCAAAAATTAAACGTCTTCAAAAAAGTGGACAATGGACAGATTACATTACTACCTGACAAGAAAGAATTAATGAAATCAATCTTGTTCATTTATATGCATATATATATAGATATCACCTGAAGTTATGGTATTTCATTATTACCTCATCTATCAGCTGCTTCTGGTTACATTAGTGAATAATAGTAATAACACAAAGGGGTATATAATTACCTTTTTTCTTTCCTATAATCTTATATGATTGGGCTTCCTTCAACTGTCCTTCTCTCTTCTGTTCACTTCATTTTCATTAAAAACTCATTTCCATTCTATTTTTTTATCACAACCAACTGACTAGTCACTTTATACACCATACATGCATATATTGTATGGTCGTACAGTAACAATCCGATTATGTAAAATCAAACAATACTCATTTTCCATGCAAATATACGCAATCCGGTCATTAAATTTCTTTTCCTGGATCGTAGTAGACTCGCCTTTATATTTGTGTTGTACATACACATACGTACATGTATGCATCCATATATATATATATATATATATATATATATATATATATATATATATATATATATATATATATACAAAACTGTATACACAACTTATAGGTATCTACCTCGTTGTTTGTTTCATTCAGAAATTCTGTTGTACTCTGCTTGTTTCGTGTTTACTTTTTTTTCATAGATGCAGTTATACTTGTTAGTTATTTACGTTCATTGGATTGTTTGCGTTGTCTTTTGTGATCAGTTCGTTTAAATTATCAGTGAAGTAATAAATTAGAAACTTGCTTTTCATTAGTTACATCATATTTTATTTTCAAATATTTTTATCGGTGTTTAGGGTGTTTAGATCTTTAAAATGTTTCTATTTTCTTTGTCAAACGTCTCTTACAACCGTATTTCTGTTTTGTTTGCTTTTTTTTTTTTTAATAAATATTTTGTTTTTCACTTTTAAACTAAACAGTTTTTCACAGTGAATATTTTCATTGTTCGTTCTCACTCGTCCATCCCTCTAGTCGTTATTATGTTATGATCTCGCGTGATGATTATATCATTACTTTGTGAATATTAAACTATGCACAGTAAGGTGACTGGATTTATCTGTTCATATATATATATATATATATATATATATATATATATATATATATATATATATATATATATATATATATATATATATATGTGTTCCTAAGAAGTCATTGAATTATTCCATTCCATTGGTTTTTTTCTTACTTCCATACTTTCACTTCCATAAATCATGGTTGTCAATCTATGTCTACCTACTGATTTTTGTGCTGATCAGTTTATTCGTTCATCCTTTTTTTTCCACAATCTGTATTAGTTTTATTTCTAAGATTTATTGAATTTGATTGTTATTAGTAGTACTTTTTCTCAATATTATCATTTATATGTATTTTGTATTGCATTTCATTGATAATCAGTTTTTTCCCTAATTATATGTGTAGAGTCTGGGCACCTGTAACATATTATGCTTCATTGTTAGTAGTGTAAGTAGTAGTAGTAGTAGTAGTGGTAGAGAATAAGCATTCATATAAACTACTTTGTTACTTTTCAAACCGTCTGTTATTTATTTTCTACAAATATATCTTGTCTTCTTAGTGGTTTTACATGTTCATTAATTGGTTATTTCTTGCTTTTTTTTATTATAAAAAAGAACCCGATTATATCAATCAACATTTCTCTCTGCCCCTCTCAATATAGAAATTCTTACTATTTTCCATCTACTGTACTCATTGATAGTGATGAAAATCCATTCAAAAGTTGTTTAACTAATGATGATATTGTTCATTTCTCAGAAATAATATTAATAATTAAGAAATGAAAATGAACTATTATCCTCTTTTTAAAAAAAAATAAAATCGAATGGTCAGTAATAGTTTACTTCCTGCTTTAAATTGGATAATGATATTGTCTTCTTCTTGATTAAGCTGGATAAAATATTGAATTATCTGAATGTAAAAGATACGGTAGGAATGGGGATAGGGTTAATGGAAAATTATACATTTTGTTAACCACATATACAATACATAGATATTATTGTATATTTTATTCTCCCTTTGCTTATTATTATTTTTTCTGTGTGTGTGTGTGTGTATGAAGTAAAATCGCTTATTTGATGCATATATATGTATGTATATTGGATAATTAAAATATTGATAATGTTTTAACTCTTTCTGTCTATTATTATATTCCATAATATTTTCTAAACTAATCATTGTATATTAAATGTATTTTATTATACTTCAGTAGTGTAATATAGCTTTTCAATTGATTTTTTATCATTTATTCTCTTTCGGCTTCATTCACTCTTCCGTACTTCTATTATTATCATTATTGTTTCCTATTGAATTCTTGTGGAATTTATCTCTTAACCTGATTACAAAGATATAATAATATTATCATCTTTTAAAATTGATCTTTCTTTTCAAGTAATGTTTTCTTTTTTTTTGTTGTTGTTGTTATTGCCCCCAAAGTTGTTACTTTTTTCTATATTTATAAAAATTAAAAAAAAGAAATAGTGAATGGATACATTAAATAAATCTACTTTTTATTCTCTCTTTGTATCTTTTTTTTCTTTCTTTCTTTTTCTCTCTCACTCTCATATTCTTTTGAGTTCATTCTGTTTTTTAAGTTCTACTGATAGATAATAAAATTATTAAATAAAATGGAAATGTTATCTTTGTATATTGAAATTATTAGTGAAAGTTATTTTTATTTAGGTGAGATTTTATAGCCTTATTTGAGATCTTAATTCTCCTCATCGATTACAGACTGTTTAAAAGATTATAAAGATAAATTATATTGTCTGATTAATTCATTTGACAGACGAATGTGAATTAACTTGATATGAGAATAATTATATTAAATATTTAAAAGAAAATGTGATTGTTTGAATTCATCAACTAGTAGTATCTAATGTCTTATTTTTTTTACAGTGATTTAGATCAATATCTATTTAGAAATCAACTACCAAATATATATATCTACATTGAATTATATAGAGTATACTTTCATTAATATAACATTAGTTTGACATTAAATAGATGAAGTGATTGAGATGTATATGTTCAGATATATAGATGAACATTTTCTTCAGTTATATAACTGAATAATAGATAAGAATTTAATTGAGTTCTAATGAATAGTTATGCCTAAGTAAATCTTTTGTGTTTGTAATCGCTTTAACCGCTCATCTTTTCCTTTTTTAGAGATACAATCAAATCTATCATGCATGAGAAAAAATTATTATAAGAATCAAGTGATCTATAAACAGGATAACGTAATCGAGACGAAAAATAATTCATTGATTGTTCATCACTCTTATTACGATTTTTAGTGTTAACAGCGCTATCCATGGTATACATATCATCTTAAACAATAATCCAAAACAAAATGTTTTTGAAACATTTGTGTCGGTTTGATGTACTGAAATGTCTAATTGCATAAAAACCAAACATTTAAATGATAACTCTGAAGTTCGAGTATATTTGGTTTTCCTAAAGTTATCGATAATGAATAAAGTAATATATCAACACAAGATTAAGATGTACAGTGTAAATGCATGTTTACCCGTGCTGCCAATCTTAGGTATGTCGCCCTAAGCTTTCAAAATTAGATTATAATTATTGCTTAGAACACGGTAGAAAGTTTGCACCTGTTGATATGTCTCAGATCAATAATCGATGAACTGGTGCTATGTTTTCGTTTGACCGCCTTTTGCTTTTTATCCAACTTACTCTCAACTCAGATAGCATTGAGGATCGAAGTTGGCAATGTTTGAGCATGCGTATCACATATTTCAGTCACCAGGGTCAATAAAGTTTGATCGACCAACTCACTATCTTTATTCATTACCTTGAGCTCAACTTCACAACTCATTCATTGCTCCAACCATGTCCGATCACTGCTTCGACGACATCTCTCTAACAGTCCATGAATATCTATCTTTACAGGCGAAGATACGCAGCCATAAATTATTACACAGTTGACGTAAGCACATTATACTTCTATGGACAGGCTAACATTCTGTCTGCGCCATATATCTCAAAAGTAAGCTAAAATTAAATGGAGAATTTTTATATACGAGATTTCCTGATTAGGCTTCTAATATAATCATTAACCGACATAAAGTTCGCTTATTTTTTCATTCTATTACCAGTTTCTTAATTCTACATGAAGTGCTGATGATATTATTTTAAATAAAGATTAAGAATTTACAATTGAAATACAGAGCTCATAGAAGATACAATCTAACCAAAAGGATCTATCTTAACTATGAATTTTCACTATCATTTTAAATTTCTGTAGCTACAGTCCTACTCCATTTGTATTAAAAACTAGATAAAATAAGGGTAAAGAAAATACCCTTAATACTAATTTTTATCATTCTTAAAGTGGGTTTGAATTATTCCGTTAACAATATATATGTACGACAGTATTATAACTGTTTCACAAGCGAGTGGCTATCTGCACTCAGTAGTTCAATAGTGAATGCATTAGCTTTTGGAGCGAAATGTTCGAATATCAGCTTAATCATTATCTAACTGATCTATCCCGAACAGAAAGAAAACGTATATTTTAAATCCTAATGCTAGCTGATAATCCATGAAAATTTACTAATAACTTATATTGTTTATTAGAAATATCTTAGTACTATGTATTTGTTGCATAACCATAGATAAGATTAAATTATGATTATTGCCAGTTCTGTATGACAAGAAAAAAACTATATGAATCACTACATTTCCTACTCAATTATTCAACGAATAATATCAACAATATAAAACTCAAAAAGTCCCACGTTCAATTTCAAACTAGAAGGAAAAAATTCCTTGCTTTGTGACAATTTTTCCTATTGACGATCATAATTCATGATGAAAAGTTATTGTGAGAGTCATCGACATATAGTAATTTCTGTATAGAGTATTACTTCATATCCTATTTTTAATCATATATCCATATGTAATCGGCGTGCAATGCTGACCAGTGTTGGAGACGGATGAAAGTTAGAGGTGGCCGAACCAAAACGTGGT